ATGCTCCAGTGGGTATACTTGATTTCTTTAGATGAAGCTCATGCCTTCGATGCACTGCAAACTCTGGCCGATTTGTCATTGATGATGCCAATGGAAAATGAAATTGGTAAGTAAACTATGTCCACTTCGTCACCTAAATAATTCATGAATGGCTGAGATTTGCTGCATGTATCTTAACTCACCTTTTGATAAATTTCCTCAGAATTTGTTAAAACTGTAGGACTATATTCATTATAGTCCCTCAGAAAATATTCATTGAGTATAATATTTTTCAAATTTCATTCACTTTCTTAATTAGGCAACTAAATTATTTATAAAGATGTGAAACTTCGTATAATATTCAATTGATTGCAGTCTAGGACATTTTGTTTAGCAATTCATAACTTTCTGTTTTTCTTCTAATTCTTCCCTTTTCGGGAAAAAGGTACATTTAGATATTTCCATCTGATCAAATTATTCAGTTTATAGCCTATATATGCATTGATTAATACAATTGTTTGATTTTCAGTCGTGAGCATTTGCATTCTGAATATACCTTTTTAGTCATATATTCATCTAGTTTCCCATTCATCAGATACGAAGCTTCAGTTTAAAGAAGAAGATGTCGATCATGTTGATGAGTCGGTGTCACCAGAAGCTCCACCCATGATCCTGCAAAAACAAAAACACAAACATTCAGGGGTAAAAATGAAAAGGTATCAGCCAATATCAAGTCTTGGAGCTGCTTCCACTAAGACATCGAATACTGGAAAGGCTTCAGTTTTTAATGTTACTTCTGCTCCTGAAGAAGATCAGGACCCTCATCAGTCTATTCTCAAAACAACACGAAAAAAGCAAAAGATACTGTTGTCAAAGGTGAAGTGACATAAAACTTCCCTTTCCATACCATCATTGTTGTGAATCAGATTTTTGGCTTGATAATTTACACGGATAATGTCTGCAGATTAAAAAAACTGAAGCTCACCCTGATATTCATCTTAGTAAGTCTCCTGGGATTGAGGTACACTACTTTATGCTCTATAAATTTCCTCTTTTGTCTGTTAACATTTTTAAGTATGAGCGTCTATATTCCTCTTTTCGACTGCGACTTATTAAGTGTACTATTTATAACTTTTAAAATTGAGAATTCTGGATTTAAGTGTTCTTTATGTAATGTTTGGTTTTCGTCAACGCTTCAATTTGTATCTGACTTATTTTATTGAAAACTTCTTTATTGAAATTTGTGGTCGTTACAAGGTATAACCTTTATTGGTTTTAGTAGGATAGTCATCTACCAAAAACTTTACTTCTCCCGTAGAGAGCTCTCTGAATGATGATTTCTTTCTTGTAGGCTGGAGACGGAGGGAACAACAACAAGTTAAGGGCAAAGAGTAAAAAATCTTCACAAAGTAGTACGCCAAATGTGATGAAAAGTTCAGAAAATTCTTCCAGTGCTGATCTACAAAAGGAAGCGAGTGAATCAGTCCAAGCAGCTATACAGGTTCCTGTGGTTAACCAGGAGAACTTGCCTACTAAAGTTAGGAGCAGGCGCAAGATGCAGCTCAAAAAGCCACAGGTTCTGAAAGATTTGAACTGTCCTGACAAAATCTCAAATGACCATAGCAGTCCACTAACTGCCATGCCCCATGACACATCATTTAGTTTAAAGGTTTAATATCTTCCGTTCCTTCAAGTCTGGATGTTAAGTTAGTCAGATATTAACGTTCATTGTCTGTATTCTGTCATACAGGAAAAACTGTCTAGTTGCTTGTCAAATCCTTGTCTAAGGAGATGGTGCACTTATGAGTGGTTCTACAGTGCCATAGATTATCCTTGGTTTGCAAAGAAGGAGTTCGATGAATATCTGTGTCATGTTGGATTGGGTAATGTCCCAAGATTAACTCGTGTAGAGTGGGGTGTCATAAGAAGGTAATATCATCATTTTAATAGTTAATATATTGTTATTGATCGTATTAACCTTGATGGACGGAAGCATGCTATCAATGCATCACCTTTTTACTCTAAATGTTAAAGCAGTTCTCTTGGTAAGCCACGGCGATTTTCAGAGCAGTTCCTGAAGGAAGAAAAGGAGAAGCTCAGCCAGTATCGAGATTCGGTTAGAAAACATTATACTGAGCTGCGGAAAGGTGTTCGGGAAGGACTTCCAACCGACCTCGCCAGGCCTTTATCAGTTGGACAGCGTGTCATTGCAATTCATCCAAAAACAAGGGAGATTCATGATGGTAGTGTGTTAACGGTTGATCATTCTAGGTGTCGGGTTCAATTTGACCGCCATGACCTAGGAGTTGAATTTGTGAAGGTAATTCCTTCCTCGTGGCTTGCAATCGTTGATCTCAATGTTTGTGGATATTTAGTCACTCTAAAGTCTCACTATCTACAATCGAGTTCATTTTTAGAACTCTATATGTTTGTTGCTAGTCTCTATGCTATATAAAAAAGTAAAATTTGTAGGAATAATTCGAAACAGCAGCCTTTTTTGATACTTATAATGCTTTACATTCTCTACGAATTGCTGATGTTTGCATCCGTTATACTACATGCATTCTTTTTCCTATTTGTTTTTGTTCCCCAGTTTGATTATGTAACTAACACTTTACCTTCTCAGGACATTGACTGCATGCCTTTGAATCCTGTTGAAAATATGCCTGCATTGCTTGGACGACAGACACGATCCATTGACAAGTTTCTTGAAAATTCCAATGAACTAAAAATAAATGGACGAGCACATGAAGCCATGAAGCTTTTTCCTGGTGAGATGGTAGATGACCCTGATGGTATTTCTCAGTTGTCTCCATCAGCTAACTCTGCAAGCTTGTTGAAGCAGACAAAGGCACGAATTCCTCCCTAGATTCTCATGCTTAATGTTGTGAAATATATATTTCCTCTTCTAGTTTCTACCGGGGTGGTGTTTAGTTTCAGAAACAGATACAAACCATTGGCAGTTGGTGACATTTTCATATTTTTCAGTTTTAGTGTTTGGATTTCCGAGAAACTGAAAATTGATTTCTGTTGGCTTGATTGCACTATCTAATCTTCTTGTTCACGCTGGCAGAACCTTATAAATTCTTTACCGAGCAGGAGTATCTCAAGTATTTTTCTGTACACCAGGTGGCTTCTGCAAATGCTCATGTATATATGAAGATTGGGTCTGCTGAAACTGCTAGTTACCCACCAACAACATTTTCTCAGTCTAGTGCGCTAGCTCAGATTCAGGCAAAGGAAGCAGATGTTCTAGCTCTTGCTGAGCTGACTCGTGCTCTTGATAAAAAGGTCATAAGCATGCACTTGCTAATCCATTGTTTATGTGGTTGTCCATTCAATTAACAGTTTGTTCACTTTATTGTTTGATTGTTCATGCTTAGACTTATGAATGTCCAGGCACCAACTTTTTGCTACTTTATGATCAAATTCTGCCGGGTTCTTTCCTTAGGCTTTAATTTTAGTTTGAAAATTATGATCTTCTTAATCAGGCCATTGATAGTGCATGTTGCTCCAGTAGAGATTTTAGCTTTGTATTTAATCTCATCGCTTCGTGTTTCTATGTGCAGGAAGCCGTTATTCGAGAGTTGAGGCATATGAATGATGACGTGTTGGAAAATCAGAAGGATGATCACAGCTCTTTGAAGGACTCTGAACCATTTGAAAAGCAATATGCTGCAGTTCTTGTACAATTGAAAGAAACCAATGAACAGGTCTGGTATCAATACAGGTTTTGCAATCTTCATACGTTCTATTTTGGATTTGATTTTTCAATTTCTAATATTACGGCTCAACCCCCGGTGCAGGTTTCTTCTGCTTTATGTTGCTTGAGACAAAGGAACACATATCAAAGGAATGTTCCACTTGCATGGCCTAGGTCAGGCATCAAATTTGCTGTTCCTGGTGAAGAATTTTCTTTTGATGGTTTTGCGCTTCGAACTTATGAGTCAGGATCACATGCAAATGAAACCATTGATAGTTCGAGAACAAAATCCCGGCAAATGGTAGATGCAGCCATTCAGGTACACAAATTATTTTTGGCCCAGAAGCTGTTCAGTGGATCTCATCTAGTGTAAATTTCATCAAATTGGCATGAGTTGAAATACGTAGCTTAGCATCCTTAAATGCAGTACTACTGTCAACATCAGTTAATAACAGTACCGTAGTTTACATCAGCAAGAGTGCTAAGTAGATGACAGTAACCTTGTCTGCCCTTAATTTTTACGAGTTTTATAAATTTTATACAGAAATGTATTACAAAGATGCAGATTAATAACAGGGGTCTACTTTCGAAGTTTTGCAATAATAACCACTTTCCCATTGAATTGAGTTGCAAGAATTTTCCTCATATTTTTCAGGCAATGTCATCACTCAAGTGTAGGGAGGACAACACTCTACAGAAAATTGACGAAGCTGTAGATTACGTAAATGACCGGCTTCCCTCTGATGATTCAAGCATCTCTGCTGTAAAAATCTTGCTCCTTATCTATATATCTCATAGTTCTCCAATTTTTAATATGATCTCCTATTTTTCTAAATGTGTTGCAGGCACATAATCCTAAATCCACGAGCGCTTTAGAACTTGAAGCACAAATTCCTTCAGAGCTAATCTCTAGATGTGTTGCCACTTTGCTTATGATTCAGGTGGATGATAAGAAATCCTACAACCAGCCCCGCCCCTCCATCACCACACACAACACACACACACACACACACACACACACACACACACACACACACACACCTATTTTACTTCATTTGACAACTGATAGTTAACTATTGGTGTATAATTTGCAGAAATGTACAGAACGGCAGTTCCCTCCATCTGACGTGGCACGAATACTAGATTCTGCCGTCACAAGCTTAAAGCCCTGCAGTTCACAAAACCTTCCTGTATATACTGAAATACAGAAGTGCATGGGTATCATTAGGAACCAAATAATGGCACTAATACCTACATAGAATCTGACCCACATTGACTTGTAGATCTCCCTGGTAAATAATTTAGCTTCTCGTTTTTTTTAATCTTTCTTTCTAAAATTCTGTTACATAAGTAAAAATAGGAGAGGGGGTAGAATTTGAAGGCTTGACTTAGGCTGTATTAGCCAAGGCCAAGGACTAAATCTCCTAGGGAGGAGTGGTAATTTAACTCGTCTTTATTCAGTTGGTGTTGATCGTTTTTCCTCGGCATTTACATGTCAAACAGATTATTTCTTTTCGAACTTCTTTATGTCACTTTGTTTATATATATCCTGTCTAGCATGAGCTGCTCTACTAGTTTCTGTTTCAGTAAAGAAATTTGTCATGTGGTTTTTTTTTTTTGGTTCGTTTGTTGTAATAACACCCTACGGGGGTGGGGTTTTTAGGCATTTCATAAAAATAAAATGTGTGATGCGGTGTTAATTGTCATACGATGTTGGAATGGATTCGGATTGAGACGTTGTACGCACCTTAAAGGCGGTTGCAAGTTGTAACATATTTGTTTGAATCTATTTCCTCGGCAAACAAAAAGAGGAAATCGTAGGTTCTTATGTAAATGAATTTTAAATTTATCTTAGATAGTTCAAAAATATTTATGGCTTTGGAATTGAATGTTGATTAGACTCGTTCGAAATTCAAATAAATTAAAATCAGTCTAAAAGTTCGTCGAACAAATTTTCAAGCCGTGCAAGTTTTTATCTTGAAAAGATCATATTGTGTACAGCTAAAAATGATGTAAAATACACTAAATTTGGTTCCTTAATTCAAGCATGCGTTTTAGTGCGTGTTTTAGGTGCACTGCGTGTTAGTGCGTGTTTTAGGTGCACTGCGTATTAGTGCGTGTTTTTGGTGTACTGCGTGTTAGTGCGTGTTTTGGTGTACTGTGTGTAGTGCGTGTTTTCGGTGTACTGTGTGCACTGCGTGTTTTTGGTTTACTGCGTATTTTCGGTGTACTGTGTTTTTCAGTGCGTGTTTTTGGTGTACTGTGTGTTACTGCATGTTTTTGGTGTACTGTGTTTTTATTTAAATACATTTTTTCAGTGCTTATTTTTGGTGAACTGTGCATGTTTTTGGTGTACTGTATGTTTCAGAGCATTTTTTGTCGGTGTAGCCTATGATTTCAATGCATTTTTTCGTGCAGTGTGTTTTTCAGTGTACGTTTTTGGGTGTAGTGTGTTTTTTTGGCGTAGAAGTTTGTGGACGGAGACTTATATTAAAAACTCAAAAGGCAAACACAGTTTGGGCCTAAATTCCAACATACATGGACAAAAAAATAAAGCACACACTACATATTTATGTGTAAAAGTACCAAAGACCCTATTCTACTTTCTCCCACTTTCCAATATTCCCTTACAATATACCATGAATTATAAATAATTAAAAAAAAAATAAAAAAAATAGAACCATTCAACAACAATTCCCAATTTACTTTTTTTTTTTCATCCCACTTCCATATCAATAAGCACAAAGGAAAAAAAAGTTTAAGCTACCAGAGAAAATAAGCACAAAGCAATGAGAAATAATTTTAAAGGGATTTTACCAAACATGTTCAGGTAAAAACCCCTAGCCATCTCCACTTACATTCATTCCCTCACCTTTTAATAATTGCTATCAGACATTAAATAAAACCAGGAGGCCCACAAACAAGAGATATTAAATACACCACAACCACATACAGAGATGCCATTTTATTTTAATTACCCATTATAAACCGAAAAACATCACCCAATGAAATTATACCTTCTACGTGTTTGCTTCCAGCTTCAACCACAATAAGCCGCCTCACCCCTGAATAAACGAGCCACGTAGGATATTCGAGGAAATATTATATTGCTGATTGCAACTAACGAGAGCATCTATTTTTTATGCTTAAGTATGAAGAACACGTTTTTTTTATAAAGAAAACAAAAAGTGCAGAAAAAGTAAACCTGGTTGGGATAATCTCTCCAAGACTTTATGGAGTGGATCAGAACGCAAGCACATGAAGCATCTCTGGTTGTTGGATCCAAGTGCTGAAAAGGGGTCATCTCTGTACTGTAATGCCTGCAGCATAAAAAAAAATGAACCAAAGCAAATATGAAATAATGATATAACAAGATAATAATTGGTATTTTAATTAGAGAAAAATGTGCTTACCTGATGAATAGTTGTCTCTTCGAGATTAATATGAGTATACAGTTTGTCTTTTGCCAAAGTAGTTATGTCACTGGCAAAAAAAATGACAACCTAGTGATATTAGTTCAAATGCCGGACAATATAATGTACACACCAAAAGCATAAGTAATGTACTTGTCACTAACCTTCGAGAATATACATCCAATAGAGAGTCATTATCATCTACAATTGGAATCGAACTAACTTGTGCTGCAAAAGAGTTTGAGAAGTCACACAAGGAGTAATGTAGCATCTAAGATAAATTGTGTACAACTGTATTATGTAATTTGAAATGACAACGGAATAGTTATGCATATATATAGAGGACTTTGGAATTAGTCGTCCTGTTTCATGAAATTACTCTTGTATAGAATCTAAACATTCAATAGCAGAAAGTGCCGGAATAAAGGTATCATCATGTTCAGGGGCATCAAAATAATGGAATAAGAAATATAAAACAAATACAGAGTAATGAAGTAAACTATGTTAATTCTTGGAAGCAGACAGTTTTAATAAAATCTTTGCAAGCAAAATCAATATACAAGACCAACATACTAAAAAAGAGAGAATTTCCTCACATACTACAAATTGAAAACCTGTCGAACAAGGATAAAAAAGAATAAGTTTGATTCTAAATTTTCTTTATATTTAAAGTATTTATGCATATCAGGTTAAACAAATTCACAAACATTGGAATTGTGAGTGGGTATAGAAAGATTTAGTAGTGTGCTATAGGGTTGGAAGAGCAAAAGAGATGACAACGCTGTGAGCCTGTACTTAAGTTTTTTAGTGTAGCTGGATACCTTGAATTAATAAACTTAATGCCGCACTAAGTGAAGCACTGGGTCTCAACATTGCCAATGTCCGCCGATTTGGCTCTCCAATTTTTGGAACCCAAGTGCCCAAAGGGATTGCACAGATTGGGAACTGAAGCACGGGTAATGAGCTTGGTGAATGCTTGAAAAAACGGCAAATACCTGTAAATCAAATAAAATATGTTAACCATGACCAATCGAACCTGCTACCAGCATCTATTTCTATTGTTCGCAGTTTGTATCCAGAAAGAGATGCATTATTATTGGGGAATTAATTTCATACATACTCAAAGTCCTAAGATGCCTATTCATTTTACTCACATTTTAGAATTCCAGAGAGTGAAGCAAGATGTAACAAATGTGGGTTTGAGGCATCTGCTGAATGAGAATGAATAATCGGAACTGTGGCCACACCATTTTGCAAAATCTTCAAAGCAACATCCTTCAAGCTATCATCTGGCCCAGCCTGAAAAAAATCACCAGGTTAACATAAAAGAGTATCCCACGTGCTTAGTGCAGTTAAAATAGAAGAATACTGCTTGTAACTTGTCCACATAAAACTTTTGCAAAACTATCTGAGCATATTTTGGTAAAACAAAGGGATTCAGGTAACACAAATACTTTCACAAGAGCAAGTATAAAAAAATCAAATAGATACTTGAAACACGGCAGAAATGTGTTTAAAACTCAATAAGATGACAAAAATATCATGGCAGTGCATGAAAGTGATCAACTCCTTAAAATGGTAAAGATATCATCAGGATCAGACAGAGAAATGTTATACTGGTATACTCATTGTTCATTGCAATACCCATCAGATATTTAGATGACTGCTCCGAAGTACAGACTTCACATGCTGACATTCAGCAGAACTGTAAAAAGACTTACTTGTACAAGCTGTCTGGAAACTGCACCTCCTTGCCCATTAATTTGACTATTCAGATATGACTTGGCTTCTTTCCAAGCAGATATAGTATGTGTCTCTAGCTCTTCCTCGGTCAAGTTGGACCCATGACTGCCAAGCTACCACACACATTCAGAGAGTCAAGGAAACGCATTATAAGACTTCGCTGAGCAGATACCAGTAAACATAGAGAGAAACCATGCTCCAAGAAAAGAGAAGCAAAAGATCTATGACTTAGCATTATTCATCCGTTTTCATAACCAACTAAATCCCACAATGAATTAAACATACAACAAAATGAAAAGACACAAATCAATGGAAAGACAGCATGTCATTGCATGTTTCTAAAACAAATTGTGCTAATGACTTCAAGAGTCCACTTATTCCAGTTCCAAGCCTAATGATAAAATAATTGATTCGATTTTGTAAGTTCCACATCGAATTAGAATTCATGTCTCAAAAATGGGTTAATCGTGTGCTATATTTATCCAAGAAAGTAGTGCTCAAGGTCTTAACTTCTCGTAATCAAATTTCAGTACATTTGCAATCAAATGCAACAACTTGCAAAGCACTTTTTTTTTATTGCGTGTAACTAACAGAAAATCAACCCAGATTAAACTGCATCACATAGGTCAGATCGCATAAGATAAGATAACCTCTTTATTCATCATATGCATGAATATAGTCAATAGCAAAAAAAGATCAATTATTTAAATACCCAATGTTGTTCGAATGAAAAGTTCCTAGTTCCTTTCCAACTATACTAAAAAAGTTGACAAATTGAAATGAGATGAAATTTAATTAGAGGATGGCAACGACCATAAAAAGAGAGATTTATAGTAACTATATAACATGATAACATATACTACAAATTTTCACTCAGTACATCTTTTCTCCTCGACCAGCTAAGAGTCCAATATAAAAGATCCAAAATCTATATTTGCTGGCATATATAAAGTCCCAAAGTATCAAATCAAAGAGGAGTTGATCATTTTACATAAAATCGAGATCAAAACAACTTATAATAGGCAAAGATCTAAGAATGCAAAAAAGAACAAAGTAAAAAAGCTGGGGGGAGGACGGGCAAAATGGAGCTAAGTTAGGATACATTTCATTCACTTCAAAATAATGACAGATGGCTCACTTTACCTACCTCTCTCATAATCAAGATAAAATCCATAGCACTGAGAACTCCAACAAATTTCCCCTTCGAGAAGTCCCATAAGGGCGCCATCGAAATTCCCTGAAAGAATTTGGTGGTTCAGAACCGTTGCAAAATTACCAGAAAAGATACGCAAACAAAGGCATAAGCAAGAATGAATAGGCTACACATGCATCTAGTACATGGTCTTGCTATATCATAGGGTAGTTAGTGACCTAATTCTTATACACACTAAGTAAAAGATATACCAAGACTAGCCCACATCAGATTCTTATTGAGAAATAAATAAATTTAAAAGGATGATAGCATTAGTGAACAATATTATCAACTGACATTCTTACAAGTAAACATTGACCAGTGGACTTCACATTCGATAATTAATATATGTACCTGCTCATGTAGAATATGAAATGCTTGCTTTACAGGCAGTTCAACATCCAAAGCAATAACCTGCAAGCCATATTCAAACAAAACTATCAACAAACAGAAATTGGAGAGGATATCAATAGGGAGAAACAACAATTCGACAGAGGAGTATCATCCAAACCTTCCCAGATTCAGGGAGCAACTCATAAGCCATGTGTGTTATCATGAACTCAGCTATACGATGCCGTGAAATCTCTAAATCTGCCTCTGATATAGTTGGGAAGGGCTGAGGAGATGTACCATCTGACAGTTTAACCTGCAACCAAGATATATTATTTATTCACAATTTTACGATGACTAATCAATGTCATGAAATTAGAGGCAAAAACTAATTTATGGGAATATATTAGCACCCTGCAGACTGCAGTAAACATTTGGAGATGCCTATGGTTACAATCAATATGATGCTAAACCATAAAAACCTTCATATTCAGAAAATAGAAGTTTCTTTCCATCTAAACATTAAACCTACGGTTCCAACTGTTTAACAGGAAAATAAACTGTTCTGAAGTACTCATTTAACATGCCATGGTTCTACATTCATGTTCAATGTAAACATTTGCTCATAAGCCGTAATAGTGTTATTAGCTAAATAAGCAATGCAAATTATCCCTGCCCCCCTAAGAGAACAACAATGATAAAAAAAAAAAGAAACTCATAATCTAGGATTTAGGCTGGCAAAAAGTTATAGAAACAATATGATCGAGAAATTCAATTAATATGAGACAGTATGAAAAGAGTAATGATGGGTGCAATAACATCATACCACACGTTGAAAGGTCTCATTGTCAACATCCATGTTACCAGGACCAGAGGTAAGCATTTGCGGGTTTAGTATTGGAGTAGGGAAATCAGATTCCCTAGTTAAGAGGATGGTGTTGACTATTCCAATGTTGCTACTGATAAAAGGCTGATGCTCATCATGTCTCCATTCACCATCAACAACAAATTTGAACTGCAAAATACAGGAGATATATTTAAAAATAACACGGAGTTCCACAGGCTAGTATTACATGAAAATACAAACAAATATCTTCAATCAAAATTCAGAAGTAAAAGAAAAAAGGAAGACATTTTCAAATACACTGACATATGACCCTTCCCCCTAAGATTTGTAGTTAGGATAATGGAACTTTCTCAAATTCTTCAGAAATACTCTGTTTCAAAATTACTCCACTTCCAGACAACTTATATATCATCTTATCCAGGAATAGCCATCAGAAAGAATGCATGGGTAGAGCCATGACGTATCATCTTTATAAAGGAAAAATACCAGAATAAATTAGATACAGGGGGAAATCTGGAATATTATAATATAGTAGTTACAACTTTATTAAGTTAGAATGTCATATAGTACTACAACATTGTATTGGAGAAGTAATTATTATGTTAAGTTGTCTGACCAAAGACAAGCTGAAATTTAGTTTCAATGAAAACGAAGTACAAAACTCACCCCTATGTAATACCAGCATGATTGATTATTTTCATCCTAAGAAAGCTGGTCCAGATATGGATATATATAGGTTGACAGTTTTTATATTAACTGAAGTTAATGGCACCCCCTTTAACCAAAACATGATCTTACAAATCTATTAAACACCACAATATGTTAATTAGTTTTTCAGCCGACGTGTAAGCCAGCATGTGTGATTTTACTTACCCCGCTAATTCCTTAACCTAATTACCTTTCTACCACCCAAGATTTTCAAACATTTATTCAGTAGCTGATAATCCACTGGTACTTCTATTTAGTTAAGAAGCCTTAATTCCGTGTGCAGATTATGTCCTGACAAGTGTCATGCACAACTCACACTCTATAATGATCGTTAATCAGCATTAAATATCATGTATACAGCTTTACTCATTCCTCGGACAAAAAGAAATCATTATTTCCAATTATACCCATAAGTCGGATACTAATAAATGAAGAATACGTTAAAGGTTAGTAACTTTCCAGGTCATTAATGAATAGGCAACATAACCAAATAAAGTCAGTGAAAACAAGGCGAGAAAAACGGAAAAAAGAGACACAATTACGTCTCATCCTAACCAAGAATCGGTGCGTTCCTACATGATCACGTCTTTTAATAAATGCAGAACACACCAAACGGAATGACATAATACACCTAACGCACGTTACCTAACGTACCAAACGCACGTCATATACATTGGCGTACACGGAATCCCTACCAAAGACCAAATTATCTGATAATCAATTGCCATCACAATTCTATACAAAATCATATCAGAAGCAACTTTTTGAAGAAAACACAGAAGATTTGAAGAAAAAACACCACCAACCTGGTGATAACCGGGCGGCAGGCTACAAATTGTCTGAAAGACAGTCGGGCAACCCTCAACTGGGGTCATTGGCCACTGTGTCCACCTTTTCCCAAAAAATAACAATCAGTAATACAATTAAGCATAGCATAAGAAAAACCTAAAAAAAAAATTATGAAAGGAAAGGAACGATGATAAATAAGCTTGAAACAGTAATTAACTCTTACCCCGTAAAAGAACCACTGATATACACAATTCTCCCACCATAAGGCCACACGAACCTCGTGGGAATTAACACCATTCCACTTTCGCGCGAATAATCCATACCAAGAGGAAACATTCAGTACTCCTTAATAATTGTAAATCTCCCAAAAAAGTACTTCTCCAGAAAAAATCCTAGCATTTGTGCGATTACAGATCAACCGCGCCGACAGAACAAAGCAGCAATTGCGAAACCCTAGTAATCCATCCAGCCGAACACCTCAAAATTCAACGGAAATTCCACCGATTACTTCCAATTCAATAATTTAACGAAAATACCCAACTCCTCCTTGCTGAATCTACAAAAGCCCTGCTTGTAATAACCCAAAAACTACGGAGAGAATAATTCGAAATCCTCACGAAGAAGAAGAAACAGGGTTGAAAAATGCAAAGCGGAGAGCATCAAATGGAGAAAATTCTGATGAATCGAGAGAAAAATTGACGCCCTAACCCTAAATATTCCCGTTTGAATACTTTAAATGAAAATTAGGGAAAAATATGAAAGGGTTTCGTGTATATGTAATATTATATTACAGGAAAGAAATTGTTAAAGTGGGTCCCGCATGTGAGATTCCCCCTTCAGTTGCCAGGTCAGCATCCTCTTGACTTGCTATTTTCTCCCCACTTTTCTAATTGATAAAATAATTACTACACACCTTTTACATGCTAAAATCGCTTGAATGTCCATTTTTTTATTTTTTATTTATATTTTTAACATTTATAATAAATATATAATATATTATTAATAAGTAGTCAAAAGAAATTTCATCTAAAAATTATTTTACTTTATTCATAATTTCTTAATGGTTGTGCAAAAACAACAAGAAACCGTATATTACAGCACACACTTTTTGTTAAAAATCGTTAACATACAAATATAATTATATATAGTATATATAAGATTTTTATCCAGAAGTAATCAATAAATGGTTCACTTAAATATTGTTACACTAATGTTTTAATAGTCCAGCAAAATCATAAATAAACATATACTATATATATAGCACATGTTTTTTTGCTAAAAATCATTGAATTATTCAAAAGATAAATTCGTATTTTTTAACAGCCAAAATATAATATAAAAGATGTTTATCATTAAATAATTAAAAAATAATTCATCTGAAATTTATTTCACTAATTTTTTAACCGAATAAAAATTTATTATTTATAGAATAAACTCAATTGAGCTTTACTACAAGCTGAAAAGAAAAGCATTTGCAAAAAGCTGACATATAATATTATAACACATCATCAAAAGGAAAGAAAAGGAAGTTAACAGTAAACTGGAGACAATTTCTACTGGATTTTTACATTAAAAATTAGTATAATGATTAAAAAAAAAAAAAGGGCAATCTATAAATAAAGGGCAAGATCCAAAATAAATAAAACACCAAATAAATAAAAATATATAAAATGCAAGGAGCCTGGATTTTGCCACACTGCACAGAGCTGCTTGACTAGACTGATTTCAGGGCAAAATATACAAGAACTTCACAGGCTAGTGCATCTACTAAAAATAGGATTACCACACAAGTCGAATAAACATCTCACGCCAAATACTTGAACAAGTTCGGGTTGTCCTTGTCTCTTTCCAGATAATCTCGAGTGATCAGATCTTCAATCCTCTTCTTGATTGCTTTCACATCGGGCTGTGCATAATAATATTGCATTGTTGTGTTTAAATTCATATATATAATATAACATATTGAAATATATTATCCCAAAGGGGTTATTTATTAATTACCTTGAACATTCGGCCCAATTGCTCAACGCACTCCATGACCAACTGCTGATAGCCCAAGACTTTTCTACTCTTCATAATACGCACAATCGAAGCATCGATTGCATATCGCCTGTCCTTATCGACATCCTCAATGACCTTTTTCTTTTCATCCACAGGAGGTAGAGGTATCTTTATTCCCATGCAAAAAAAACAATTGACGATATATAAGTTGTTACTTCATTCTCTCTCTCACGCGCGCGCGCGCACAAAAAAAAACACCGAGGAATTTATTATAAGTGGGAAATTGGTACCTTGATCCTTCTCATCTTGTCGGTGAACTTTGAATTAAATTCGAAAACATCAGTTGGAGAAATTATTTTGGTGCTTGGCTCCTTATTCAAAATTTTATATTTGGCACACGAAAGGGAATGAAGCAGTCTCACAACATCGTCATCAGATAGGTTCAATTGAGTCATTATTTCCTGATAGCTCAACCTATCCGAAGAATTAAACAGCAGCAAAGCAGCAGCCTAAACAAAATAGGGATTTTAAAAGTTATTATCAAATATCGATCATATGAATCAGACACAAAATTAGTTATTATCTTGTCCTGCTTAACCTGATATGTTGTCACAATAAGCTCTATTGTCTTTGCTTCGAATTTCCCGTTGATGTTACAAGTTCCCAACGAATATATCCATGTAAGTTTCCTGTGCTTTGTTTTTGTTTGGTAGAATTCTCTAAATACTTCAACGCACTTCACCTAGAAAGGATTTAAAATAAAAAAAATAAAAACGAAAAAGAATTCAATGGCACATAAGGTTTCAATATTAAATAAAATTTGACATATGTGAATATTACCATCTCGGCTGGGAGGTTTAGATCGAAAGACTTGTAACTTGGCCAAAAACCAGTGGTAAGCACAGTAACTGTCAAGTCAATCCCTGGATTTGCATTCGGATTATTGCCAAGATATTCCTCAAAGCTGGTTTGATTTTCCCTGGCTAGTGTCAAATCCGTGACCTAAAATAGTTGAAAAGGGTAAAAATAAAAGAAAGAAATAAACAAAAATCACTTAGTATAGATTATTGCTGATTCAGAAGACATAGTAATTATGAGAGCTTACCATCCCCTCCATTTTCGATGTAAATTGTCCACCACATTGCTGCTTCAATTTTGTCAGGATACTTCTTTCATGCTCATCATTAGCACTTTTATCAAATAATAAGCGTCGAGCAAGCTTTTTCCTGTCATAAAAAATAGCAGTAACAAGAATAGTATTTAGTAACCAGGAAAACACGACCACCGCCTACTAATTCGAGAAACTCACCTATAGAACTCAGCAAATAAATCCTTGTCGCTGATATAAGCAAGCAGTTTTACAACCTATGGGATATTTAGAGAATCGATCAGCTTTCAAAACAGTGTCAAAATAAATTTAAAGCCAAAGGTAAATATTATCATCAAGTCACACCTTCTCCAATGTTTCCTCAATAGCTTCATCACTCAACTTTTCGCTACCACCTTTTTTGAGAATATTATCACAAAAGGTGGCAAGAAGTTCTGCACTAGAACTTCCAGCGACACCCTTGTTGCAGAAAATCTCGAAAGCTTCTTTAAGAGCCTATAAATTGGGCAAACAGATAAAGGGAAGTCATACAAATGTTGGAGTAGAGTGCAAGGTAAAATAAACACGAAGAACCGCCTAACCTTGTGGAAAAGCGTGTGATTTAAAAAGCATTCGTTCACATACGCCATGAATTTGTCATGGAGCTCGATTACTTTTCTGACAAACACCTGGAATTCGAAAAAATATTAATTTCAATATGCGAAAATTTTATGGTCAAGAAACTACAGAAAGTTACCTGTTCCTGTAACCCGATAACATCTTTCTTATCAGCCTGTAAAAGACACATAGCTTAGAAATTTAAAAAAAAAATTAACTACATACAGAACATATATAATCACTATTACATTCCACATCAAAATGTAGCAGATTGTACTCCTAAATGATGTTGCAGTTGCCAAATGAAGACACACACGACTTACTAGCATGTTATTAGGACAGGAAAGAACTCAGAAACCATTTTTTTTCTTTTTTCTTTTTCCAGAAGAAATGTTCTTTATTTCGATGAGCAACTCCAAAACATTTTTCCTTACCACTATTCTTCGGAAGAATAAGCGTTTTACGGAAACATATATGATACAATCCTTTTGTTACCTACACAACCTTAGCAGAAATTATGTTAATTCAAGCAGTTAACCAAGAAATGTCTTAAAAGTTGTACCATGTCCTAAGCAATATTACATCTTCCCAAAGACCATTTCTATTAGTTATTTAGTCATTCATTATAAGGATAGGCACTGACTTCTCTTCATATATGGTTCTCTCTTATTGAACAAATCAGAATGTTGGTAAGACATTTATAAAATTCATGTGGGAAAAGGAAATTTGTGTACAGAAATATCTAATAAAATATGCATGTGATCTCACTTGTGACATGTATGAGAAAAAAGGTTTCATGGAAAAGCAACTTAATCATGGCAGGCTCACCTTTTCACTGTATACAATACATGGATTAATTACTGAACCGCAACATCCAACAATAAATATGTAAATCTGCATTGAATTTCTGAATAACCTAGTCGCCATTACCACCACACGATATTCTAAAACTAGTGGAGAGTATTAAGCTTCATAACAATACTCACCAAACACAACTTCCAGCATATAAATAACCCAAAAGAACTTATAAAAACATATTTGTTATGCTAATAATACTTGTACAGTTGTACTTGCTCGCCTATTCTATCCTAGCCTAGCTGAGGAAGAGTTACGAGGGGTAAAAAAAAAAGGCTGATGGTCCGGGGCATACTATGTGTAATGATTCCATCATTCACGATAAATAAAAAGAAAAAGGCAACTAACCTTCTTGTTGCTTGCAGCATCTTCTGCTTGTTTGACCAAAGCCGTCCCTTCAGCAGTAACATGCTGTGGTTGGAAACCCGTTACAAATAAGTACACATATGACAACTTGCTAAACACGAGCAGCATAAAACTTCGATTCAGTACTTGGGTTCTACAAAGCAAAACCAAACAATCACAAACCTGCTTAAATATATTAGCCACAGGCTCCAGACCTCGGGGTATTTTCGAGAAGAGTCTATACATCCTTGACAAATCCTCTACCTAATGCACAAAAGAAGAGGTTAGCATCGAAGGGTCACTATCGATCAAAACATTCAAATACATAAGCCTTTAGTGTAAGTACCTTGTCATCCCTAAGTAATGCATGACAACCTGAGTGCTCCTTCTCGAGCAGTTGGGTGGCATACACAGACAACAACTCATGTTGTACTTTCTAACAGAATAAAAAAAAAAGGAGCAATGAAGTAACTAAATAAGAAATTCATACAATAAAGTCAGAAAATTGTACCGAATCGAACAATCAGCCCATTTCACTATTAGAACTCGTTATCCAAGAGGAAGAGCATACCTCAAGTAACTTTGCCTCACTACTTGAATGAAGATAATTAGAAACTCTGTCCTTTTCTCGTTTCAAGCACTCCTCAGCCTTAATTCCAAAGATTGTTATAAAACATATGTTAAAAAACAGTTTGATCAGGGATACTTCAACCACTGTATGAGAGTGAGACAAAACTTACTTTCAGCATATAGTCCGGACATGAATCGTCTAATATCCAAATAGAAGCCTTCCGTGAATAGTAAGCAGCTGTATCCTTCAACATAGCTTCCTCAAAGTCATTTTCATAATAATCCATCTGTCCCATTCCAATTTCAACAAAAATATCCAATACGTTCTTTAATAAAGCTCGATCTATTTGCTCTCCTTCTCGCTCTTGATCAATCTGGTTATAAAAAAAAACAAATTACAAACCTCAACACGGGAGGAAAAGGAAACATTAATGTTTAAAGAGGAACAGTAACAAGACATACCAGAGATATAACAGCATCCCTTACTTTCCCATTTATCTCTTGGTACACCTGAAATCAAAGTACAAATTTCAAGATGTGCAAAGGCACAACAACAATGAAAAAAGAACAGATAAAATGGAGCTCAAAATGTTCGCTCAATTTGGTGTTAATCTCCCAAACAATGAGTTTCGGGCTATTCAAGTAAGTTAAAATAACTTCAACAAGCAAAGGAAATTGAACAGGTTCAAGGTGGAACGCAGCCAAATTTACCAGGTTTCGGAAGCATGTCAGACCAACTTCTTTGAGTGGTGGAAGTGACCTTCTAGCTATGAAGTACCGATCAAGATAATGAAAGAATCTTGAAAGCCATCGAACCATGATTTTATGATTCTGCCACCTTTTCACGAGCTCCCTCAACATGAACTCGTCATGCTTTTCTCTCAAAGAAGGCAGCACCTAAATGAAAAAGGAAAATCTAATAAATTGCAAGAACAAAAATAAAAATCATTTTTTTAGAAAGTAAGCAATGAACAAGTAATGATATAATGATATAATAGGAGCGTGAAGATAATACATAGATTAAAATGCCATACTATTAAACAGAACATTTGGAATCATTCTTACCGTTGATGTAATGTACTCTTCGAAAGACTCTCGGTACTTATCATACAATTGCTGAGAATAATCGTGAGGGGGCTTTTGGGTACACATGTTATATATTGTCCTGTAAGAGAAAATCAAAATAACTCGTAACCAATTTATAAGTTTTGAAAAGCTTACAATATCACATAGTAATGATACAAAGTACTAGAAAATTACGTATAGAGCATCATGTAGTCCTCTGAACTGAATTGTGGCTCAGGTAGCCCTTCTAGAATATTTTTCAGTTTCAAAATCCCTTTCTGCATGAAGTCCCATCCTTGCTCTAAATCAATGGTGTTCCGCTGATTCATCGTCATCTTTAATACCAATCCAAAATCGAACCAGACCAGCGACTTAAATCACAATTCAGAATCTGCCCCCCCTAGCACACAAATAGTAGATTCAACTGATAGTAAGAGCACAATCTAAAGATCGTAAAATTCACTACTAGAGGAATAAAGAAGCGAAAATTTGATCATGGTCATTAATTGTGCTAATAAATTCAAGTTCAAATATAAAATTACTGATTCAGCAAGAGCTTTGACACTCAAAAACACATACCACACACAGTGGTAGCCACTAAGTTCGTCAAACTCTCAAAGTAACCAATTACGGCGAAAAACGATACATGATAAATAAAATATTTACTTACAGCTCATGTGTTCCAATCAATCATCCGAAAAACTAAAAATTCAACACCAACCCTAGAGTAAACTGCAGAATTTCAGTAAATACCCACAAAGAAATTAAATAAATCCCACATAAAAACCAGCAGAAAATAATAAAATTCTGAACAGAGGAACCCTAATCATCACTAGAATCTCAGCTAAGCAGGCGAAAAAAAAAACCTAAACCAATATCCTTCAATTCAATTTCTTCTATTTAGCTGAAATATCTAACATTATCTGTATATTGGGATCCCTAACTAAATAAATTGCGATAAATCAAATTCGATCGCAGAAGAAAAATAAAAAATCATCGAATCGCATGTAAATATAATTCACCAACATGAAAGAAAGCCGACATATAAACGATGTACGTATCTTTTAGAGAGAGAAAAAATACCTGAAGAGGAGAGAGAAATGGGTGAGATGTGAAATCTCTCTCGTCTTTATTTTCTTTGCTCCTCCTACGCTATTTTTCTTCTTCGTTCTAAGGTTCTTCTTGTATTTACAAATCCCCCACTCTAGTTTCTATAAATTGTTTTCGACCCTCTAAATATATTTTGAAGTGTACAAATTTAGACCAGGAATTTCGATTTTCGTCTATTGAAATTAGAAATTTCCTATTTCGAAATTATATTTTCCTTTTTTATTTTTTCCCTAAACAAATTATGTTACAAATTCAATTTTGTTACATATTTTATATATTCTAAACAATTTTATTTCATTTCAAATTATGAAATTCCATTTTTTTAATTTTGCGGGCCATAGCCCAATTAAAAACAACAAAGGCCCAAATTCACAAGTTCAAGTCTAACCCATATGAGATTAATCGAAAATACAATTAAACCTCTATAAATTAATACACTGGAAACTAACAAAATTCTATCAATTTAGATAAATATTAAATCATCAAACTAGTCGGAATTAACAAAATTCTATCAATTAAACCTATATAAATAAAAATTCTATTGATTTAGATAAATATTAAATTATCAAACCACAAATTAAATTCTATCAATTTAAATAAATATTAAATTATCAAACCACAAATTTAATAAATTTGTGGGTATTAAGTTCTAGATGATTTGAGTGTCGGTGACCTTACATTTATTTGCAAATACGTGTGGTGACTCACGTGCCAGATTCAAGAAGTGACTAGCACTTCACCATGAATGAAGAATTCAAGTTGTTTAGCAGAATTCAGTTTTAACCACATTATAAATACTCAATTTAAAATAATAAATAAATAAATAAATAAATGTCACCTTCGAATTGTACATGATATATTTCATGTACTAACTAATTGCTTGTAAAATAGCAAGAAATTATAATTAATAACCTTCCTAAGTAATAATTTAACAAAAAAAAAGAAGAAAAAAAAAGGGCAACTCTTCCGGTGATCCAGCATAATCACCATCTTCGCTCGACTATAGCTTTATACAACCACGAAATCGTCAACCTAAAAAGCACGAATGACGAGTATTAGTGTCAAAAGTTTACTTCCAAATATATAAGTAAAGCCATAATAGAATAAATATTACATACCATGTCGTCGGATGAATCTTCTAAGTGCATCTTCTCAAGCAGTTGAGCCGAATGCCCAGAGACCACCGACGAAAACTCCTGCTGTACTTTCTATAGAAAACAAAAAGTAAAATTTGATACGCTAAAACAGGAAAATTAATCATTGGATCAATCGTTACAGAAAATTTTGCATAAAATTGAACCATCAACCGTTTTAAACGTACCTTGAGCAACTTTGTCTCGGTACTTGGATGGAGATAACAAGACACCCTGTCCTTTTCTTGTCTGAAGCACTCGTGAGCCTGTATTCATGAAAGATTGTTATAAACAATATCGAAAAGAAAAGAAAAAAAACCCATTTAAATTATAGATACATTAACAAGTATATATATGAGAGAGGACTCACTTTGAGCATATAATCGTAACACGAAGAATCTAATACCCAAATAGAAGCCTTTTGTGAATAGTAAGCAGCTGCATCATTGATCATTGCTTCTTCGAAGTCCTCGTAATAATCCATTTCCCCCATTCCAATTTCAACAAAAAAATCCAACACGTTCTTTAGTAAGACTCGATCTATTTGTTCTCCTTCCCTCTCTCGATTAATCTGGTCAGAAAAAAACAGAAGAAATTAATAATCATAATAATTACAAAACCTCGAAGAAAGTTAGAAAAAGAAGAAAACACTGTACAAAAGAGACAACATACCAGACATATAACAGCATCCCTCACTTTTCCCTTTATCTTATAGTACACCTGAAATCGGAATTAAAAATACTCAAAATCACAAAAGAGAAAGAACAAAAAAAAGGAAAAAGATGGAATATAAGCGAAAATTACCAGGTCTCGAAAGGTTAGGAGACCAACTTCTTTACACGGAATAAGATACAGCCTGACTACGTAATAACGATCAATATAGTGAAAGAATTTCGAAAGGCAATCCACCATGATTTTATGATTCGACCACCTTATCACGAGCTCCCTCAACATTAATTCACCATTTTTCTCGTTCAAAGAAGGCAGCACCTGTAATACAGAAACAGAGAAAAGTCTAATAAACTATTGAATAATAAAGATAATTATTCCTAAGATTCAAAATTCAGATTACTACGATAAGCCACAACATTCTTACCGTTGTAAGAATATACTCTACATAAGATTCTTGGTACTTTTCGTACAATCGAGCAGTATGGTCGTAAGGGGGCTTTTGTGTACACATGTTATATATTGTCCTGCAAAAGAAAATTGGAAAGGGTAAAAAAAAATTGATAAGTTTCTGATGGCCAAAAAAATCACATAATTATTGCGACGAATATACAAAAAAGATTACATACTCGTAGATCATCATGTTTTCTTGTGTGGTGAATTGTGGCTCAGGCAGTCCTTCGAGAATATTTGTTAGTTTCGTAATCGCTTTTTGCACAAAGTTCCATCCTTCGTCAAATTGAATGGTATTTCTAGGGTTATTCATCTTCTCAGTAAAAGTCACCGACTCGATTCGAGTCCAAAACCTGCAACTGCCACACAATTAGTAAAACCGAACTCATTGAAACTAAACAAATAGAGAACAGCAAATCGAATCAAAATTCAGATCATGATTCGATGAGAAACTTCAATAACGTAAACCCTAATACGGTGGCATCGCTATAGCTCGAATATTTCAATTAACAATTCGAGAAAAAAAAAAATTCAACATAGGCCAGAATTTATTCACAGAACCAAGAGTACAGAAAAAAGGAAACAAATCTCACCAAATAACACAAACACACACGCAAAATCAGCAAACAATTATAATTTTTTTTAGCGAACGAAACCCTAACATTAACAATCATGAATATCCTCGAAATTCAACTGAAATATCTACGAATGTCTGCACATTGGGATACGAAACTAAGTAAATTCCAACAAATTCAATACGATTTCAGAAAGAAAAAAAAAAAAGTAAATATACGAACGATATAGCAGACGTGTATACGATGTGCGTATACTTTTAGTGAGAGAAAGCACCTGAAGATCGTAGATGAGAGAGAAAGAGAGAGAGTTTTGGTAGCGCCAAAGTCTGGGGAGAAAACTAGTAGAATGGTTTTCCCTCCAAAGAAGTTTGGTTGGTATTTATAGGCTGAGAAAATAGAACATCCGACGTGTTAAATAGAAATTATTTCAAACTTTAAAGTTATAGTCCTAAACCAACACAATATCCTACACCCAAATTGACTTGCACACGACTCTTTCCTTGTTAAATAAATATATATATATATAAGAATTTGCTATATAATAGAGTTATTATTAGTTTGTTAAAAAATTGAAATAAGGTAAATTACAACACATCCTGAGGTATGATTAAATTATAAAAAACTTCCTTTTGTTTGGGTAATTACAACCACCCTTGAACCAAGAAGGGTTTTTCGTAATTTGACCATACCTATTTAATTTACCCATTGAAATAAATGTATAAATTAAGTGCTTAATTTAATTTTGAACGCTTAATCAATATTTAAATACACGCGCTATCTGAATTTGTATGTTGATGAATAGTTAATAATGTATGAGTACTACTATTTGCATGTTACAATCTTACGAATTGTCGAACAAGTATGTTATTGTTGAATTATTAATTTGATAATGCTCAAAATAATTACGATATTACATTTATGATAAAATCTAGTGAGGTATGGTCAGTTTGCTAAAAAACCACATCTTGTTTGGATAATTACATATATCTATTAATTATGATTTATTCTTACACCCCACTCTTATGGTGTCAAAATCAACATATCATTTAGATTTCGTGGAATGAGCTAAATGTGGAGTTAGAATGGGATAAACAGGTACAAAAGTGATAATATTCCATATAATCTCAAAGATTCCGCTAATTTTGAAACCACAAGGGTGAACGTATAAGAACATTTATAGTTGAAAGCTAACTGTAATTACCCATACAAAAAGTTTTTTTTTTTTTACAATTTAACCATACCTCTGAAATTTACTAAAATCTATGAGAAAATAAAAAAAATTGTTTCAAATTGTCTTTTGTTTCTAGATGAAGGCATTGCTCAACAAAGAATTACTCAAGAGCTTTCGCGGAAAACGGACTCTGTAGAACCATATAATATATCAATTCCTACCAATTAATATCATATTCATCACAATTCCTACCAATTAATTGAAAATAATAATAATTTCCTAAATTAATAAATAATTATGTATAAACTAATAATTATCAATTTATGGATACTATAATATTCCGCTAGATTAGTTGAATTTTACTAATTCCAACTCTATTAATTTATCAGTTCAGTTACATATATATTCTTGAAAATATTCTAAACTGGAATTTCATCAGCCAACACTAATCCTACCCCTCAAAATTGGTTTTTCATGTAATAACCAAAATATCAGCCTTAATATAGGCAATAAACTCTAATTAGTAGCTTAATCCTAATTAACCCACATCACCTGGTTAACATCAGCTTCCTTCGGTAGTCCAAAAAAATAAAAAATAAAAAATAAAAAAACTAAAATAGCTCTTCGAATGCTCCACAATAATCGTCAAAGAATATTCGAACCATCTTCAAGCTTGTTCGCCTATAGCTAGCTTTATACAACCACGAAATCATCCACCTAAAGTACAAAGGATGAGATTCAGTATCGACGAGTCACACTATCAACTATTGTACGAAACTTGCAAATATATAAATGAAGCATTTGTAGAATAAATATTTAAAATACCATGTCGTCGCATGAATCTTCCAAGTGCATCTTCTCAAGCAGTTGCGCCGAATGCCCAGTGACCACCGACGAAAACTCCTGCTGTACTTTCTACAGAAAAAGAAGAAAAACAACAACTAAATACCGTAAAACAAGAAAATTAATAATTCAATCATCCAGAAAATTGCTTAATATTGAACCATCAACCGTTTTAAACGTACCTCGAGCAACTTTAGCTCGGTACTTGGTTGGAGATAATGAGACACCCTTTCCTTCTCTTGTTTCAAGCACTCACGAGCCTGTATCCGGAAAGATGGTTATAAACGGTATATACAAAAAAACCATTTAAATAGCGGATATTTTAACCAATGTATGAAAAGAGAGAATACTCACTTTGAGCATATAATCGGGGCATGAATTATTTAATATCCAAATAGAAGCCTTATGGGAGTAGAAAGCAGCTGTATCCTTCAACATTGCTTCTTCGAAATCATTTTCATAATATTTCATTCCAATTTCAACAAAAATATCCAGTACATTCTTTAGCAAGACTCGATCTATTTGATCTCCTAGCCTCTCTCGATGAATCTATTCAGAGAGAAAAAGACGAAAAAAAACGACATAACAAACCTCGAAGAAAGATACGTAAAACGAGAAAATACGGGTACAAAAGGGACATACCAGAGATAAAACAGCACCTATTACGTTTCCCTTCATCTGTTTGTACACCTGAAATCAGAATCCATATTTAAAAAAAAAAAAAAAAAAGTGAAATGAAAAGGTTGCAACCAATTTGGCAGTAAACGAAGCTCGAGAGATTAGAAGTGGAAAATAAGAGAAAAATTACCAGGTTTCGAAAACATACGAGACCAACTTTATTACACGGAGGAAGATACCTTCTAGCTATGTAATAACGATCAAGATAGTGAAAGAATCTTGAAAGCTTATCCCCCATGATTTTAACATTCGACCACATTATCACAAATTCCCTCAACATTAATTCACCATGTTTCTCACTCAAAGAAGGGATCACCTATACGAAAAAAAAAAAAACATAAATTATTTTTAGAAATTCAGATTCGGACCCTATTCCGTTGAGTGACAAATTAACAATTTAAATTAAAGCAACGATCTAAGAGGACTTTCAGATTCTTACCGTTGATGCAATATACTCTTCAAAAAGTTCTCGATACTTGACATATAATTCCTCACTATAGTCATGAGGGGGTTTTTGTGTACACATGTTATATATTGTCCTGAAAACGAAAATCAGAAAGCAAAAAAGTCGCAAACAGTTGATAAGTTTATAATCGTCGACAAATTCACGTAATTATCTTGCTACACGAAAAATACTTAAAGATTAAGATTACGTACATGTAGAGGCTCATTCTTTCCTCTGAGGTGAATTGTGGCTCGGGCAGTCCTTCGAGAATTTTTTTTAATTTCGTAATCCCTTTTTGCACGAAGTCCCACCCTTCGTCGAATTCAATGATTTTCGGACGGTTATTAGTCATCTGATTCTTCTTCTCGATTCGAGTCAAAACCTGCAAATTCCGCACAAATAGTAAACTCAACTCATTAAAAGAGAACAATCTGAAAGTCATTTATAATGAAAAAAAGGAGTAAATTAAAAAAAAAACACCAATAGTAAATAAAATCGAAATTCAGATCATGATTCAGTGAGAATTTCAATAATCATACGTACTCCAAAATCACAAAAAGTAGACACTATATACGCTCATCGTCGAAATTTAAACAAACAGAAAATAAATTAAAATCATTTGATCTAAGTATATTTCAATTAATCATTGGGGAAGAAAGAAAACCCTAAAATTCCAGAATTCATCACCGACTCCAGAAAGTAATAAACAAACCCTAAAACAAAGATCGTGATGTCTGTAAAATCAGAATCCGCAACTAAAATAAATTCAACCAGATTCAATTCGATTGCAGAAAAAAACATTGAGCATTTGATAAACGCAATAAAAAGAAGAAGAAAAATACCTAGCAGCAGTCGATTCTGGGAAGAAAATTTGGAGAATGATTTTCTCTTGAAAGTTGGCCAACATATATATAGCCACAGCAAGTGAAAGGAAATAAACCCTTTATCACTAAACCCCGGTGCAGTTTTTGAAATTTGCTTTTGATCCCTAGGTATTTGTGTTCTTATGTTTTTTCCCCTAACAAATTAAAAATATTAATTAAGATTTTTTTTTTTATTTTTTGTAAATTTTAAAAAGAATCTTTAATGGGAAAATTACAGTTTTCACCCCTAAAATTTGCAACAATTTCACATTTGGTCCCTTATGATTCAATAATTGAACACTTTTGGTCATTTCCGCCAGTTTACCGTAGTTCGTCAGTTAAGGCAATGATGGGCACATGCGTGATTCCGTTAGAACTAACGAAAAATTGTCGTAAAGGACTAAAAGTGTTGAATTTTTTAAACACGAGGGACCAAATGTGGAATCGGTGCAAATTTGAGGTGTGAAAACTATATTTTTCCTAATTTTTAATGCTTCACCATAACCATCAACCTCTATATATACACAAATCAACTCTTCAATGCTTCACCATAAACATATCAACCTCTATATATCCATGGAATCCTCTACGTAAAGTAGAAAAAACGAGATTTAGAAAGTCGATATTGTATGAAACATGAAATAAATAGATTACAAAAAAGGCTTTATAGTATAAAATACCTTGCCATCCCCAATTAATGGATTTAATTGGGAATTTTTAACCGACGAATACTCTCTTTTGGCATGTAATCGGCACATGAATTTCGGCCGTTCGATCAAGTAAAAAGGATGCTCAAGGGATCCAAGGGTGGAATAGTGTCGAAACTTACCAACTTATTTACAAGATGTAATGACTTTATCTTTGTGTAATAATCATCACGAGAGCGAACAAATCGCACCGTGATTTTATGATTCGTCCACCTTTCCACAAGCTCCCTCAGCATTAATTCGTCACGCTTGCTCCTCAAATATGGCAACACCTATACGAAGAAAAAAATATTTAGGAGAGTCTAATAAAAGAAAAAAAAAATCGTATTTAATTGATAAGTTTCTAAAAGCTTACGAAGTCACATAATTAATGATACAAAAACACTAAAAACAATACGTATAGATCACCGCGTAGTCATCGGAGGTGAAATGTGGCTCTGGAAATTCTTCAACAAGTTCTGCAATCTCCTTTTTTGAATTGAATGAAGTCACATCCTTCGTCGAATTGAATGATTTTCCGAAAGTTCATAGTCATCTTTAGTAGCTGTCGAAAAAAATACACCGACGACTTAATTTCAGTTCAAAATCGCACGATTGATACAAAGAGGAACAATCTGAAGATCATTTAATTATGATGGAAAATGACGAAAACATTAGGTGCAGAATCAAAAAAGATTCCGATAATCAACAACGATGATTGTTTTAACAACCATGATCCGGAATTAAACAAATTGCAACAAATTCAATACGATTGCAGAAAAAAAAAACAGTAGCATGTAAAAATATACGTACAGACCAACATACATAAAAAGAAACATATATACAATGTACGTATATTTAGAGAGAGAGAAAATTACCGGAAGCGGAGAGAGAAAGTGTGTTAGTAATTAGTATCAGTGGATCTGTGAATAGAGAGTTTGGAGAAAGAATTCTCAACTTAATAACCCCCACTGAAGTTTTTGTAATTGTTTTGTAGTCCCTAGGTATTTATTTAATTATTTATGCAATTATGAATTAACTATGTTCTTACGTTGTAATTCGTTTTGAATCCCTAGGTATTTATTTATTTAATTATGTTTTTTTTATTGTTATCGCATCTGGGCCTTCACAAATACATCGTATTAAACTATTAGTAAGTGATAAAATATTTTTCTAATATTAAGAAAAAAACCAAGTATTGTGTCACGATGTTAATTTGTTGATGCAATAATCATTTGAAATACTTCAAAAAGGCTAAACGTTGTTGTTGTTGTTGTTTTTTTTTTTTTTAATAAGGGCACCGCAAGAAATCATATAAGTGCACTGAATAAACCTACACTCTGGTATAATAGCTTGCAACATATACGAGAAGCGTAAACCACACCATACTGACCATGTGTGACAAAGTCGAGTTAGCGACCTTGGTGGGTAAACCTTGAAATATCATAGTCCAGGTAATCAATCTATTACATTTGTTAAACCACAGCCTAATACTAATTAGTTAACCCCTATCTACCATAATCATCAAAACAAATGTTTGAATTCGAAAATCTTCGTCTTGCTCGACCAATGCCTCTATATATCCATGAAATCCTCAGCCTAAATTACAAAAAAAATAAATAAATCAGATTTAGTGTCAAAAGTGTGTCACTATTGTATGAAACATCTAAATAAATAAATGAATGCTTTGTAGTTAGTTATAATTTACCTTTTCATCCCTAAGTAATGGATGAGAACCCAAGTGCATCTTCTCGAGCAGTTTTGTGGCATGCACGGAGCTCACAGACAAAAGCTCGTGTCGTACTTTCTATATATGTATATTAAAAAAAAAAAACAGCAATCAAATTAAATGCAGTAAATTGAACCATCGGCAACCTTTTACTATAACTAGAACTCATTATCCAAGAGGAGTAAATTACCTGGAGCAACTTTGTCTCACTACTTGCATGAAGATAATGTGAAACCCTGTCCTTTTCTCGTTTCAAGCACTCCTCAGCCTGGATTTTTCCAATAGATTGTTATAACCAATATGTTGAAAACAAGTTTAATTACGATACATTGATACTCTTTTGTATGTATGTGTGTTCGTGTGTGTGTGTGTGTGTGTGTGTGTGTGAGAGAGAGAGAGAGAGAGAGAGAGAGAGAGAGAGAGAGAGAGAGAGAGAGAGAGAGAGAGAGAGAGAGAGAGAGAGAGAGAGAGAGAGAGAGAGAGAGAGAGAGAGAGAGAGAGTAATTACTTTGAGCATATAGTCACGACATGAATTGTTTGATACCCAAACAGAAGCCTTTCGGGAGTAGTAAACAGCTGTATCTTTCAGCATCGCTTCCTCAAAGTCATCCCGATAGTAACCCATTCCAAGTTCAACAAATATATCCAATACGTTCTTTAATAACACTCGATCTATTTCCTCTCCTTCCCGCTCTCGATCAATCTAGTTATGGCAAAAAAAAAAAGAAAATAAATAAATACGAACCTCAAAAGATGGAGAAAAAATGCATAAAGAGAACCAATAACATGATATACCAGAGATATAACAGCATCCCTCACTTTCTTCTTCATCTCTTTGTACACCTGAAATATCCAAATTTGGTAATTAATTTCATTTTTTCGATTCGATAAGCTCAATTGATTTCAAGGAAGAATACATAGTGGAAACTTACTAGGTCCCGAAAGCATATGAGACCAACTTCTTTACATGATGGGAGCAGTGTTCTAACTGTGAAATACTGATCAAGATAGTGAAAGAATATCGAAAGCAATCGCACCATCATCTTATTATTCGACCACCTTTTCACAAACTCCCTCAACATTAATTCACCATGCTTCTCCCTCAAAGACGGCAGCACCTATTACAGAAATAGTAAACTCCAATAAATGACAAAACAAGAACACGAACATTAATTAAACTAGACGCATTAGGAAGCCACCACAATTAATAATCCGTACAACTTAGCCAAATATCCCAAATTCAATTCACCACTAATAGAACATTAATCAACTGATTAGAAACTAGACGTATGAGCAAGCGATGACAAAAAAAATAGGCTGTAAAATTTTGCCAATTATCCCAAATTTACTTCAACACCATCGAAAAAACTTTAATAGAATTTATTCGTCACGAGAATTTTAGCACCGGTCTCGTACTTACCATTGACGT